CACTCTCCTCCGAGTGGAGGGCTTTCCCGACGCAATCAGTTTGTCCGCCTAGCTCACAGCGTTGCGTCGGCGGAGCTGAGGCCCAGGAGGAGGAGGACGAGCCGGAGCCGGCCACGGTGGACGACGACCGAGATCGAGTCCGGGGAATGGCGGGTTCCGGAAATCATGTAAGACGAAAAACGGAATCCGGAAAATAAGGGCGAGAACGCGGCGGGATTCGAAAAAGCGGCCGAAATCGAAGACGGGGGCTTTTGCTTTTTTTTTTTTTTTTTTTTCGATCCGGCGGCTATTCGCGCGAGAACGGCGCGGGCGCGAACGCCGCGCGCTCCCAAGAGGCGCCCGCCCGAGACGCGAAAAAGCGCGCACAGCGGCCTCACGCGGATCCGCGAAAACAAAAAACCACTCGAATACGTACCTCCCGGGATGCAAATCGCGGTCCGCAGAAACGTCCGCGGGGCTATGTTTCCACAATGAGCCCGGGTTGGGATAAATTGGTGGTTCAATCAGCTGTGGCGACCACGGATTAATAAAGGAACTAAGCCAACAAGAAAATGAATGAATGAATAACATTTTCCATATTTTCTGTTTATTTATGTTTGTGAATTGCATTATGGGATCTTGATCTCTGCTCTTTTGGTGGTAAAAATTTAACTCTACAATTTAACAAAGTGATTTTATTGACATTTTAGTGGTTTACTTTGAAATAATATAATGTATTAGAAATAATATATCGAGAAATAAGTCTGTACAATAACAAAAAATGTATGGGCAGTTTATTGCAAGGTTTTTGTAGCATAATATAAAACACCAACTATATAGCACTTTAAATTACTAAAAAATGTTCATAAAACTCACTTTTTTTTTACACCTTTCAAGTTTAAAAGTTGTTAGAAAAAAAAAATCAAGGTCCCAAAAGCAGAATAAAACTTGAATCACAAAATATGAAAAACTGCTAATTTAAGGATATTTTTACAGTGTACTTGGGGTTGTAGTCTTGTTTTTGGTCCAAATATCTAAAAACATTAAATCAAAAAGCATTTCCTGGACAAGTAAAACAAAATTGTCTTTTTAAAAATAAATTTATTTTTCATTAAAACAGGAAAAATACAATCTGTCATTGGGCGAAGCAATAAAATCTTATGTTTGCTTTGAAATAAGGTTTTTTATTACATCTTTGGCAAATTGTTTTGCTTGTTTTCAGGAAAAAACTTAATTTTGACATGTTGTTGAAAACAAGACAATATTTTTTACTTGTTCAGAAAATGCTTCTTGATTTGTTTATATATATATTTGGACAAAAAAAAAAGGCAAAAACTCTAAGAAAAGCAATGTGTTCGTACATGATTACATGTGGTCACTTGCCAAAAAAAAAAGATATAGAATCAAATATTTATAAAATTGTGTTCAAATTTGTCTGGTTTTCCTTGTGAAAACCAATTGTTGTTTAATCGTGGAATCTGTGTGTACTTCAAATCCTAAAATTATATATTTAAAAAAATCTGTACTTGCAGATAATATGATTTCAACTAATTTAAAAAAATAAAAGGTGTACTCAAAGAGAGTGCACTTTTAAATCTTTCTTACATTTAAATATTCAGTTCAGTTCATCTTTATTTCTTTAGCGCTTTTACAATTGTGTCAAAGCAGCTTAACGTAGAAGTTCTAGTAAATTGAAACTGTGTCAGTCCAGTTTTCAGAGTTGAAGTTCAGTTTAGTTCAGTTCAGAGTGGTTTAAATTTCACTGCTAAAAGTTCAATACTGAAGAGCAAATCCATCGATGTGCAGTTCCACAAGTCCCAAACAAGAAAGCCTGTGGCAACAGTGGCAAGAAACAAACTTCACTAAGGGCCTACTCACACTATGCCATCCGTACCGTGCCCAGACCTGTTTCCCGGATCGTTTGAGAAGTGTGAGTGCGCTGAATGGGGCTCAAGCATGGCTCACTTGGACGGCCCTGGCCCGGTTGGAAGAGGTGGGCCTGAGCGCGGTTCACTTGGGCAAAACCTGCCAAAGCCCGAAACTGAAAGCGAGACGTAACTTTTAAGGGACTGTTTCATATGGATTTATTAATCATTCTTACTGTTCAGTGAACGCAAACTGCCGTAGTTTATTAAATACGCAAACCCCTCACTGCACGCAGCTGCGCACTTTCAGCAAACCTCCTCATTCCTGCAGCACGAGGACTTTATGATTGTTTATAAGCGCCAAAAGTGGTGGATCTATTCGGCGAAATATCTGACTGCATGTCACCCCATCCCTAAGGACTGTTTGGCGAAATATTTGACTGCATGTCACTGCATATCAAACTGACTGAAACGATATAACTAGTGAAATCTCCACTGTGCTGCTGAGTGACAGCACTTCTCACTGATTATCGCAGCATCGATGACGTAAGCGTGCCGAGGCCCGATTGTGGTGTGAGTACGGGCCGCCGGGGGAGACGGGAGGGTGGACAAGAGTGCTTTGACCCGGTTTGAGGCAACTGTACCTAGTGTGAGTACGGCCTAATTTACAAAAGTGAAGGGGAAAATGGGGGATGTGCGGCAGGGCAGAGTCATTCTGCCAGGTCACATCCAATGTGAGGGGGGCGAGGGCGGGGGTGGGGACGGGTGCGCGGCAGGCCAGATTGACTGTCAGGTCACCGGAAAATGTCCCGGTGCTTCCTATGGCCAATTCGCCCCTGGACACGACCATTTATCCTCTGGCCAAACATCCAGTGCAGAGCTGCAGTCTAGGCATCAGAGGCATGGACATCCATCTTGAAGAACTGCAGGTGTGAGTAGGTCGCCTGCGGGTGATCAGGCTTGCCCATGAGATCAATGTCAAGACTCGTATGTCACTGCATGGGGTCTTTCAGGAATCAATCTCATGCTCTCCGTTACTCCATGACCGCCACAGCATCAGCTTAGCATACGGCCTGGTCCAGGATTATAGATACCTTGGCATCACTTCATCACAGGTTTTGGATCGCATCAATGGAACTGCATAATTTTGAGAGGCCTTGAGATGAGTATCCCCAAAAGGATATATAGAATTAAGAAAATAATTAGCGTAGCTGCTGTTCATTGAGTATTAAAAGAGGAAAAAAATAAGTGTTATAAATGTAAATAGCAGTTCTATAAACAAACAGAAACAAACATGTAAAGCATATGAAAGTTTCTAACACAATGTCTCGTGCATCAGGACAGAAGGCGTGTGTTCTACAGGTGGTTTGTCGAGCCCACTCACCTGCCTGGATGCACTCAAGCATCATACTGTTATGTGATGCACTGTGTGTATGCTCTCCTTAAAAGATAGGTCTTTAAATTAGTTTTGAACTAAGAGAGTGTGTCTGAACCTCGGACATTATCAGAAAGGCTATTCCAGACTTTAAGGGTAATAAATGAGAAAGCTCAACCTACTTTACTCGACTTTGCTATTCTAGGTGCTACCAGAACCCCTGAGTTTTGAGATCTTAAAGAGCGGGTTGGATTGATAAACAGGAGCTAGATTATTTAAAACTTAATAGGTAAAAGCAATGTTTTACAATCAACATGGAACTTAAAAGGCAACCAGTGTAGAGAGGATAGAATTGAGGTGATATGAAACTGGTAAAAACTCTGGCAGCTGCATTTTGCACTAACTGAAGATTATTAATAAGGTTTTATGAAATAGGCTTTTTTTTATCTACAAGCTCTTCCGTTTTAGTTAAAGGAGGTAATTGATTTACTGTTGCTTGAAGATCCTGGGATTGAACACTGAACCTCACATACAAACCAAAATTGCACTATGTTGTTCAATATTACTGTTAAAATTAACATACTTTAAATGCTTCACATTGCAGATTAATCATTAAAAATGTTTAATTAAAAATATGTTTAAACGCATGACAAGTATTGGCTGAAATGGCATATTAAGTAGCTCTCTATTTTAATTTAGCCTACCAGAAGATGTATGAAATTACATAATTTGATCATAATTAAATTAGCCAAACAGAACACTGTACGCAATGCGAAGTTCAGCTAATAATATTCATTACCTAATTTCAGTAAATTTCCCAGAGATGAGTTGCGGCTGGAAGAGAATCCGCTGCGTAAACACTTGCTGGATAAGTTGGGGGTTCATTCCGCTGTGGCGACCCCGGATTGATAAATGGACTAAGCCGAAAAGAAAATGAATGAATGAATGAATTTCAGTAAATATACCATCTGAATAAATTCTTACATTCAATTTGCACTTAAATATATATTCGCTCAAAGTAGGCTATATTATCGCTATAATAAATAAAACAAAGGTGCAAGGAGTTTTCAAGTAATATATTACAGTTTACTTATTTATTTCCCATTATTATTGTTGTTTCCTGATTAAAATACCATATTATACTCTATAAATACTAAATATACTATTGATTACTATGATTATTAATAATAAGTTGATTTACTATTTTATATAAGCTGTTTTATAAGGTAATTTACTTATCTGTTACGGTGAGGGACAATTAACATTAGTTCACCCATATTTTAAGATTATTCTAAAATAAATTGGTTACAAAATATGTTAAAAATAAATAAATTATAAATTAATTAATAATACCACTAATAATAAATAAGCATTGTTATTATATTAATTATTTGAATAATAATTCTAATAAAAATATAATAATAATAATAATAATAATAATAATAATAATAATCATTATTATTATTATTATTATTATTATTATTATTATTATTATTATTATTATTAATACAGTCTACTGTGGCCCAGTGCTGAACCTCTTGGCTAAAAAACTAATTGTTTTTAAAATATAAGAAACTGCGTGTGCGCAAGACGTTATTTGAGAACGGAAAAATGTCAGATAAATAAATAATTAATGAATGAAAATAACTTTCGATTTTTAACAGCAACAACTTTCACGCTTTTATTGTGAAAAACGCCCTCATTCAGCCATTTTGAAAAGCTTTCTCGCCAACCCCCAGCTTCGTGTTACTTCAAAACCCCAGTAGTTGTGCAGTAAACACATAGTTTGTCAAATACATGCTGCACGTGAAGTGAACATATTTACCGCGTACTTTGCTTTTTTAAACACAACTATCCTAGCGAGTTTTCCCTCGCTCTCCGTGTTGTCAGACGCCCGCGTTACTTTTCATAAGGGTCAGTATTTTGGTCATATTTGTGGTCAGTCAACCTCTAACCGCACAGCAAGGTCGTCCCATGTCTTGACAGATCAGGGCTGGCTGAACTCTATCTGTCTACCATAGGTAAGCAGTTTTATTGCTTTATGACACCGCCGTAAACAGTTAACTGATAGTGTGTCATAACAAATGCAAGATAACACTGAATAATAGTGGTATATAATAATTTCCAACATGTTTGCTTTAGTTTAAAAAGTGATAACTGTTTCAGGATGCACTATGTGGCGAGTGGCTCCCTGTCTTTGGGGTCCCTGGGCCTGCTCCGTCTGTTTGGGGCATCCTGGTCCTGGAGCCTGGCAGCAGGTCTGAGTGTTTATTTGGGGACTGGAGGCTGGCGGTACCTGTATGTGGTGGTTCGGACGGCTAAAAGGGACATCAAGTGAGTCACTGTCACATCAAGTGCTCTGTTTTGAAGAAAGAGGTAAAGTTGGTTTTATGTCTGCACATTGATTCACTTTGGAACAGTGACAATGTCTCTAATTTGTACTTTGTATATTCGTTCTGAAATCTCATGCAAGTATGACTTCAAAACAACATTAGCACAGTAAAGTACTTTTGCTTTAATAGTCATTGGCTCCTAATATAATTTACCCACTTTGAATTTGCAAATATTTTTCTTGAAATTATATTAAGGAGAAAGTCCCAATGTGTGATTATAAATACCAACTTAACCTCAATGCTTTGAAGCGTGAAGTCTAAAATTAATTTTGTCTGTTTACTAAGAGCCATTCCATGCAAATGTCAACCTTGCCGTGAAAAAAAAAAAGTTTTCACCAGAATACAAAAACCGTTTCGAAGTTTTTTGTGTAGGCTTGTATTTTACAGTACTGCAGAAATACTCAAAAATGTGTTTGTCAGTGTTTTCAAACTATTATGTTTAATTTACCAAAGTCACTCGAATGGCAAGTTCACATCTGTCGCATCCATAACAGAGAGACGAATGCAAAATAAATAAATGCAAAAATTTAAAATCAAATCAATCATGTTTCTTCTATAGAGAGCCGACTCTTTTACTTTGGATTAGCATCTTTTCTTTTGGCTTGTGAAGTTTAATTCACAGAATTTCTACAAAGCATACTGTAAACTCGCTAACTTTTTTGTCACATCCAAAATGCATGTTAATTTTCCTTATTTAAGTACGAATGTACCGTTACAGATTGATTTTTTTCTGATCCCTTAGCTAGGGCCAGACGAAATCTTCCAGACGGAATTTTGGTAAAAGTCTGCGAATTTCTTCGGAATTATTTTGGTAGTATCATAACTAAAACATTAATATATGAAATAAAAAATAATATATTTTAAACTTTTATTTAATGTTTATTACTGTGCAAACTGCATTGTGCATAAATCAGATGAACATTTTCATATTAGTCAATAATATTTCTGTAATTAATTTAAAAACTGAATAAATATAGATTTACACACATTTACTTAAGTAAATAAACTCGGCGGAAATCTGCAGAATTCTGAGCGCGCAGATTCCATGTGGGCCTACCTATAACTCTGTGGTCACTTGTTTTGGGAAATATAAACAGATGTTTCAATATATTGTTAACAGATGAGCAATTCCAGCGTTATGGATGTAATAATTGCAGTTGAAAGTGTATGTTAACATTATATTGAAACTTTTGTTTATATTTTCCAGAACAACTGACCATGACCACAGAGTTACTGGACCAGAAAAATATCAATCTGTAAACGAGTTTTGTACTTTAAATGAGGAAAATAAGCATGCGTTATGGATGTGACAAAAAAGTCTGTGGGTTTACAGTATGCAACATACTTTGTAGAAATTCTGCGAATTAAGCTGCACAACCCAAAAGAAACAATGATAATCAAAAGGATATAAGTTGGGTCTCTATAAAACAAAAATTATTGATTTTATTTAATATTTTCACATTTATGAGGAAAAAAGTGTCATTATGGATGTGACGTCTCTACGGTATGGATGTGAAAGATTTGAAATTGCTACTTGTGTGACTTTGGTAAAGCAAATAGAATAGTTTGAAAACATTGCTGCACAGTAAAATACTTGCTTACCCAAAAAAACCCAGAAACGGTTTCCGTTTTTTGGTGAACGCTTTTTTTTTCCATTGCAAGGTTCACATTTGCATGGAATTGCTCGTATACTTTCTCTGTGAATTTATATTTTGCATTTTTTTACTGCAAATGTTACATCCATAACGCTGGTCTTGCAAACTATGATTTGATATAACACAATTCTGAAGTTTTTTTTAGGGGGACAAAAGTTAGCCAGCACTCACTTTGGGGGATTTACACCTACCTTACTTTAAATAGTAACAGTTCTTGACTTCTGTAAGCTACAAACACAAATTGTTTATTATTGGAAAGAAGACACTTTAAACTTTACTGTGGTAAAATGTGAAAATTTAGTAAAATTGTAGTTAAAAGTGAAAGTTAAATGCTCAAAAGTAAAAAAAAAAAAAGTTATACATTATGAAGTCATGAAAAAAAAAATTGTATTGTGTTCAATATTTGTTTTTTCCATATACAAACACAGGAAAACATTAATGTAATGTCCTAAAAAAATATGACTTGAAAGCCAAGTGTTTCATGAGTTTATATTCCAAAACTGAATAAGATATCATGCAAAATAAAATTTCTCTAAAAGGTTTTCTGAGGCTATATCGGTGTCCTTCTTTCCCTCTGTCAGAAGCACTTTCTCAAAAATGACCATCCCAAATTATCACATTGTTGCTAAATATGTTGGTCTACATTTAAAGTTCATGCATCTTTGGAAACAAAACACTTTGGGCTTTATTATAAATCATCTAGGGTTTATAATGCTCAAAATTAAAAAAAAGTAACGATGCTTGAGTAATATAAACAAATTGCACCACACTAAACATTATATTATTTCATAAACAAAATATATGTAATTAGTCCTGGAGCAACACAGAAAAGTAGGTCAAAAGCCATATTCTGAGTATATGTTTTGAATTTGATGCCAATGTCATGCAAAATGAAATTTCTGGAATTGTTTTTCTGAGACAATGTCTTGTGATTTTCTCCCTCTCCTTGATTGTGGAGAAGCTGTCTGATTACCACACGTATACTGACGGTCTTTAACAACTATTTTAGTCTTTTCACATACAGTACCACTTATTTTTTTTATTGTAAAATAATAGACAGAAACGTATAGTATAAATGATTTTGTTTTATGTTCAAGTCACTTAAATTTGAAAAAACTATTTAAGTTAACTTAATCAGTTTGTTTTGAGACAACATGAAGAAATGTGTGAAACCCAGCATTTTTGACAGTGTTGTAGAGTGAGTTTCAGCAGGTCTTAATTCGCCCTCTCACAAAATTAAGGCTTTAAAGAGGTCTTAAATCAGGGCACAAAGTCCTGAATTCTTAATGTTGTTGTATTAAAGGTTGAGTGCCCTGCAGTGTTTTGCAGATTGGGGTAAAGTTATTTTTATATTCACACATTCATTCATTTTGGTCAGAGACAACTTGTGGCATGCTTTTTTTAATATTCAGTCTTACATATAGACTTTAAATCAACTTTAGTACTATTTAAAAAACTTTGAACAATGTTGTGCTTTGATATTGATTGGCTGCTAATATAATTTTGTTATTTAAAATTTGCCAAGAACAGTTTTCTGAAATTATATAAAGAAGCCAGGATACCGGAAGAGCAGAATAAAGAAAAGATTTTAAATATTGTTTTTGCAACTACAACACAAGTACAGTTGAGATCTGAATTTTTAAACCCCTTTTGAATGAGATTTTCTAATATGAGTATGTCTAATAATAATTTTTCTTCTGGAGAAAGTATTTTTGTTTTATTTCGGCTAGAATAAAAGCAGCTTTTAATTTTTTTTAAAAATATTGTAGGGTCGAAATTATTTTAGGGTCATTAATTATTATTATTTTTGGAAAGTCTACAGAACAAACGATCGTTATACAATAGCTTGCCTAATTACCCTAACCTGCCTAGTTAACCTGTCTTGAATAATATCTAGTAAAATATTATTTACTGTCATCATGACAAAGATAAAATAAATCAATTATTAGAAAATAAGTTATTAAAACTATAATGTTTTAAAGTATGTTGACAGAACTCTCATTAAACAGAAATTGGGGGAAAAATAAACGGGGATAATAATTCTGACTTTATATATCTGTTGATTTTGATTTAAGCTTTGACTTGCATTCATTGTTGTTGCAGAATAAGGGCTTAAAGTTTTTTGTTTTTTTAGAAGACTATTATTAACTTGCTTATCTCATCATTTAAAAATCTTTTTTTACAGTATGATAAAAATGAACAAAATTCTAGTACTTCAGAATTTTTTTTTTATTAATTAAAAGCAACGAAAATTTGTGAGATGTTGCATTTTTAATTTAAAAAAATGTGTTTTTAACATTTCTAATTTCCTTCACTTTGTTCCTTAATTTTTCTTTACTTGTTTTTAAAGGTTATAAGTTTAATTTTATTCATTTGTTCATTTCCTTTTTGGCTTAGTCCCTTTATTAATCTGGGCTCGCCTCAACACAATGAACCGCCAACTTATCCAGCATTTGTTTTACGCAGCGGATGCCCTTTTAACTGCAACCCAGTACTAGAAAAAGTTTGCTTTTATTTAAAATTAAATTTTAAGATCATGCAAAGTAAAACGGTATTTCTAAATACAAAGACAAAAATAAACAACAGAAAATCAAACCACAAAAGTTTTACATTCAGATTGATTTGTTTGATTTCTGTAATCAAGTATACGTCAAAATTTTTCTTCAAATTTTCGACAATTTTTAAAAACGTTTTGAAGCATTTGGCAAGAAATAATAAACTAATGAAGTAGTTTAATATAAACTACATTATTATATAAAATAATATAAACTATATTATTATATAAAATAATATAAATTATTAATATAGATGTATATATTTGTAATTTATTAATATGAACAATTAATTATTAATATAAATATAAATTATTAGTTAATAATTGAAATAGATAATAAAAACATTCATTATGAAGTTGCAATGGAAAGTTCTTAATTTCATCTCTAAAAATGCTGGTATGAGCCTCGGCTGTGTCAGTTGACGTTTCTGTGTGAAGTTTGCATGTTTTCCCCTGTTTTCCCGTGGGTTTCCTCCGGGTGCTTCGTTTTCCCCCACAGTCCAAAGACATGCGGTACAGGTGAATTGTATAGGCTAAATTGTCTGAAGTGTATGAGTGTGTGTGTGAATGAATGAGTGTGTGTGGATGTTTCCCAGAGATGGGTTGTGGCTGGAAGGGCATCCGCTGCGGTAAAACGTGCTGGATAAGCTGGCAATTTATTCCACTGTGGTGACCCCAGATTAATAAAGGGACTAAGCCGACAAGAAAATGAATGAATGAATTTCCTTCATT